GGCAGCCAGGCATTGCGGTGTCGGTTGGCAAGGATCTCGTTTTGGTGCGGTTTGTGCAATAGAATGTTAAAATAAATAGTTAGGTGCTGTATGGTGCCATGGCGCTGTCGCTGTACACGTAGTATTGGCCGGTGAGCTCGTGGCTGGCCCGCAGAGCCAGATTGGCGATAATGCGGCCCGGCAGGTCGGCTGAGATGGGGTGAGCAAGCTTCTTGGTGGCCCAGACATGTCGCCGCCATTGCCGCTTCCTGCATACCTTGTAACCGCATCAATTGCATCCTGGTTCATATTCGTGTCCACGACGCCCGGATAGAACGCCAGACAGGTAATCTCAGGGTACTCGACGCTGATGGCCTTTGAAACATAGTTCAGCGACACCTTGGTAACTCCATACGGGCCGAATGCCGGCACGGGCGCCTGGCTGGTCGACGAAGTAGTAACGTTAATGACGTTGCCCTTGTTCCTTTTCAGGTCCTCAATGCATTTGGCAGTTAGCGCCAGAGGAGCCAGTAGTTGATTCCGAGGATGCGCTGCCACTGCTCGGTGGTTGCCTCCAGGATTGGGCCGTTGGCGACACTATCGCGGCATTGTTGACAATCCCGACGATATCGCCCAGGGAGCGTGCTACGCCGACAGCGCGGTCCTGCACGGAATCGTCGCTGATGTCTCCGGTAACGCCGATAAACTGCGACGAGATGATTGAAGCTCAGTGAGAGCGGAGGCGGTGCGGCCACGCCGACCACGCAGACGCCCTGGGAGAGCAGGTGCTGGGCAGCACTCCTGCTATCCCTTGGATGCGCCGGTCACAATGACAACTTTCATGGTACGGGAAGTGGGTGTATAGAAGAAAATCAAGCAACTGCGGAGATTGAAACGAACCAGCAGAGCAGGTCAGCTGGACAGCTGTAGTGCGTGTGAGGAGAGGTTGATGTGATGCAGTATGGGGGAGAAGATTGCCCGCGTAAACCCTAATTATCCAGCCGTTGCAACGTGCACTATACCATGAGGGTCGAAAGAAAGTAGGGCCTGGCATTACCCCCAGCTATTGTCCATGACAGGTGCCAAGCGAAGGGGGAGCGAAATTAGGAGCCGCCCGTATGCGCAAATTGCCTTGCCAGGGCAGTAGGGAGCGCCAGACTCTGAGCCCCCTTTGCTTCACATTTATGCTACTCTGCATTTGCCTTGAAATAGTTTTATTTTTTTTTTTTGGACATTCCAGCAGCTTATACCGAAATGTCGGATGCAAGCGACAGCAACAAGCCGAGAAGCAGAGCAAAAGCGGCTCGGGTGCCAAAGAAGAGGGATTTATCCGCGGTATTCGGAGCAAGCTGCGCAAAGTAAAGAGCAAGAAGGGCAAGGCCGCCGAGTCCCAGCGGCAGCTCCAGCGACGAGCCGCAGCAGCGCCCACACCCTACCAGTCGCACAACACGGTGTCGCGGGCGATGCCGAAGGACTCGGGCCGCGTGCGCGGGACCGCGGGCAGGGTCAGCTGGCGGCGGCGAGCCGTTCAGAGTGAAGTTTGTCAATGCCAAGGGCGACGCGACAATGGTGGATGTGAATCCGATGGAGAAATTCGAGAGGCCTTGTGCATCGGGTACGTGTACATACGCAAAACCACGGTTTCTTGGTACACACGAGGTGCCATGGAATGGAATGGCAGCCCTGTGTGGTGTTTTTTTTGTTGCTAAATCGGGAAATATTGATGCGTAGGTTGCTGATAAGCTGCGGATGTCGGCAGCACGGTCAGTACATTCTCATGTACAAGGACCCAGACGACCAGGAGATTGGCGTGGCATGCACAGACAACATGCATGAGATGTTCCGGCTATTTGAAACCCGGCAGTCGATTCCAGCTCAAGATCGTGCAGTTCAACGGCAACAACAGCGCTGCTATCGACAATGTTGCGAGTATCTGGGGGTCGTCACACACGCCATCGCAGTTCCAGTCCTTAGTGATCAACGAGTACGAGAGTGATTCATCCGAGTCCTCGCTGGATCTGACCAATATCCAGATGGAGGACCTGAAGCAGAAAAGCAAGAAGCAGGACAGCAAGAAGCAGGATAGCAAGAAGCAGGAGATGCAGGAGAAGCCCAAAGTCAGCAGCAACTCCGGCAGCATCGAGAAGCTCACCGAGCACGCTATGGCTGCTGCCTCTGCGGCTGCCGTTGCTGCCGCTGTCAAAGCCGACCAAACAGTAGATGAGGCCATCGAGGACATTGAGGACATTGAGGAGACTGTTGTAGAAGCCGCCAGTTCGGTCGGCGCCAAGGTCGAGGAGGCCAAGACCAAAGTTGAGGAAACCAAGACGAAGGTGGAACAGAAGGTCGACAAGGTCAAGGTCGAGGTGATCGACGAGCTCCAAGAGGAGCTGGACGAGTACAAAGGTCAAAGTTAACGCCAAGAAGACTACCAAGCCGCCAAAGCACCCTCATGGCAAACACGAGGAAACCATAGAGACTGCCATTGGTATTGAGGAGACAGCAACCGGCAAGGAGATGGTCGAGGTTGTTACCACGACGGTTGTTAAGCGGCCTGATAGCTCACAGGACACGGGGAGCGAGAGCCTGGAGGCAGCAATCAGAAAGCTGCAGGAGACGGTGGCTACTATCACGCAGTCGATGGCGAAGATGGGCGAGGATCATCGTTTGGCCATGGGCCGTTTGCATGCAGAGCTCCAGGAGACTAACAAGAAGGAGGCAAAGGAGAAGGAGGAGTCTGCAACCAAGGTAGAGGTCGACATTAAGACCGAAACCAAGGTCGAAGACAAGACTAAGGACAAGACTGAGGACAAGACCGAGACAAAGGTTGAGACCAAGACCAAAACCGAGGAGACGACTGAGACCAAGGTTGAGACCAAGGCTGATGCCAAGACTGAGGTGAAAACAGATGTACAGACAAGTACGACGATCGAGGAGGTGGCTGAAGAGAAGGTCGAGGAGAAGGTCGAGGAGACAGCAGACATTGAAACAATCTCTATTGATATCTTTGACGACAAGTCCGAGATGAAGCCCGAGACGAAACCCGAGACCAAGGTGGACGTGGATGTAGATGTCAAGGTCGACGAGAAGAAGGACGAGAAGAAGGACGAGAAGAAATCTGAGGAGAAAATCGACGTCAATGTTGAGGTCAAGAAGTCTGAGGAGGAGACGACCAAGGTTGATGTCAAGGTTGACGAGAAGAAGGACGACAAGAAGGATGACAAGAAGGATGACAAGAAGGACGAGAGTATCCACGTCAAGATCGATGTCGAAGAGAAGTCCAAGGGAGAGCTTGTGGAAGAAAAGGTCAAGATCAAGGTCGAAGAGTCTGTGGTGAAGAAGAAGAAACCCAGCAACGAGGAGGTTATCAAGATCGATATATGTGAAACAGCGCATCACGGCAGCCACCATCACCATCACCACCACCACGGCGCAATCCGTGTCGATGATCTTAGCTCTGGATTCGTTGTGACCACCGGTCCATATAACAACGGGTTCTTTCAGCAGGGGTTTGCTGAGACCGGCATGCCATCGTCATTTTCGCGGCCACGCTTCATGATGTCGCCGTTCACACCGTCAATTGGGTACAGTGTCGAGGATTTCAAGTTCAGGTTTGGGAATCCAGGCGATTTCCCGAGCAAGGCACTGTGCATGGGGCGATACAGTTGCGTGTCCCCACTGCTTGAAGATTAAGATCAAGGAGATGGGCTATGACTGCACTGAGGCGCATCTGGCTTCGTTGCTTGACGTGTATAACGGCGATGCTCGCAGAGTTATCGAATTTGTCACCCGCTAATATGCGTGTTTATGCGATCTACTCTTTTTTACACATACCTCTGAATATAAACTGCTATTCCACTACAGTTAGTCGCATTTGATATGAACAGGGGGAGTGCATATTTGTGAGAATGTTCTAATCTGGATTGAGCAGCGGGTGCTGCAACTTCAAGACGACGAGTAAAACTCTTGGTGATGGTTTGTCCATGCAATCGCCGTGAGATCAGCACTTGAGCACCAGGCTTGATCAAGGGAAGTGAGGATCTAGTAGCTGGTATATATGTTTTTCCCATATCGGATAGCTGGGCAGAGTGCCAAGGGAATAGCTTCTGTTTCGCACACGTCCATCTACTCAACTATCTCATGTCACTTCCATACCAGTCAGCCTTGTAAACAGAGAATGTCGCTGAATATTCAGCCGTTTGGCAATATCCATATCTGAGCAACTCCCATCCAGATGGCCGAGCATGGGGCTTGTTAACCTTGGAAATGGGACGAGTGTTTACGAGCGTGTATGTGAGCTAAAATAAAAGTGAAACAAGATTGACTGAAGGAAAAGGGGAGGGTCCGGTCTGTCTGAGGTCTGATTTTATGTGGTTTGGTTGTTGGCATGGTGACGTGGGAGTGGATCGGCACTCCAATGTCAACAGGGCTGATGAGCTCATAACATGTGTGTGGCCGCAAGATAAATAGACCGCTATCCGCCTTGGCTCTTCCACTTGTTCCCTACGAGTATGGCATACATCATGACATCCTCTATGGATACCACCATTAGCATGCAGTATATCTGTCAGATCGATATCGGGTTTCAGCTGCTTGAGGTATGGTAGGTGCTTGGACACTCGAAATAGCTGGTGAGGTGTGAAGTAGATATTTGGCACGTCCAGGATCTCACTATTCCGACTGATGAGACCAATAGGCACAGAAATTGTGCTGGAGTTCCCCGTGCCTACTAGCTTTCAGAACTCTTGCTCCAGGAGCAATAATGAATAGGCACTCTGGCACCTCACGAAAACCCGCACAGCGCTGAATCCTACCACTAACTCCACTGTCTGATATATCCATTCCGAGTTGTTGGAGTCCAGAAAGTCGATTGCTACAGAAAATACCACACTCACGCAGGGCCGAGGCCGTTCGAGGGCGTAGCTGCATGTACTGAGCCTCCAGTGAAGGGTCATTCCCTTGAAAGGGCATCGTTATCGAATTGATACCTGCACACGATCACCAATCTTTTAAGAGCAAGGAGCGGAGTTCCAGGCAGTGGATCAGGCTCAGTTGTATCCACTGGATTCTCAATGCGATAGTGTAGCCTCAATGGCCATGTGAGGATATGCAATAGGGATACCGTCGTCGCTTGTAGTCAGCATTGCAAGTACTCTTTGAGAGGCCGCTTCCGACGCTAAGGTGTTTTTGGGATGGAGCGCTACACCAAATAGTCTCGATCTCGACCTCATGTGAGTATGTGGATACAGATACAAACGACAAGGCGCACAATTTTGACAGAGCTGCAGATAGAAAGCACTGCATTCTACATTTCTGACCACGTACTGCAGTTGAAGTTGCGCAAGAAGCAAGGCTTGGAGCTGTCCTGAGAGCAGCTGGATATATCGCTACAGAGGAATTTGGAAATGGGAAACTCACGACAAGGGCTTACGTTGTCACTATCCTCAGAAAGGGAAAGGTCAATCAGCGCTGCAGTGGCCGACAGGTATTTCGGTGGGCACATGGGGGGTTCTAGAGGGACTAGGTCCTTTAAGCGATAGTATGCCATAAAGCCGCTCCAGTAAACTGTTAGTGCTATGGCATATGGAGTACTTCCATGATGAACTGCCGTAAAAATCTACCAGTGAGTGTCGGCTGTAGCTATTGTTGGTGGAGGCAAAAGGGTTCGGATCACTGCGCCAGGAGGCATTTCCATACAGGTTTTGGTAGGAATTTCTCTCCAATGGCGACACAAGTGAAGTGTCTCGGGTACATGCAGATGTGGAGCATGACCTAATTGTTTCATAGCTTGCCTATCAACCAGAGCTCACAAAACGCAAAAGTCAACAGTCTCTAGCATGGATGTGTGCAGGTTTTAGGCAAGCTTTGGGGGTGTGAAGGCATGGCAGAAGGTTGGTAAGAAAGCTGGCAGAAAAATAGACGAGTGAATAGTAATGAAGTAGAAAAGAACGCGGTAGGTGCCCTTGCTGCCATTTATTGTGAGCAGAGTTCTGGAGATATGCGAATATCCACCATTTTCCACGGCTACGATGCCAGCACCAGGCCGGTTGCATAGCGGGCAAGCAACTACTCGCCCATCACCATTGCGAACAGCCTTCAGAAATCAGCAACTGGTGGATGCTGAATTATCGATATGATTACGGATTTGTGGTGGCTATCGGCTCACTACCTGTGGTATCTGGTAGTAGTATCCATTGTCAACAAAGTGTCATAGATGGTCCGGCTATATCTAAAGTGATGAGAAGCCCAGCAATTTTGTTACCGTTGAACTACTTGTGCGACTATACGGTGCAGAACAAAAAGAAGATGATTTTCTTGGCAGATACCCAGGTCGCCTTCATGCCAGTGCAAGTGTCGGTGTAGAAACATCATTGGAGTAATGGCATACCAATCGACGATTCAGATCCACAGAGCCATGGTCAGCGGGCTGAGTTCCAGTCTCAATACAGGCACCAGAATCATCTATGCACCATTGCACCCTGCAGTGGCGCATAATTGCTGGATTGCACATGCAATTGACAGAATGGCATCCCATATTAACTGACGATATCCTTGTCTTGTACTCGACTTTGCATTTCCCAATTGCACCAATTGCACTAATTGACAGCGTATCGTGACATCAAAAATGACTGGGATTTCCCTTTGTAGTGGCATAAGAACATGTGCTGATATCCGGAATGGCATGCTCCCAGCACTTATTGCGGCAATCGCAGCCCACGCTATTGGGAGTGAATACGAGTGCATGCATGTCCTTTCTACGGTAAGTGTTTCCAAGGACTATACCCAATTTTATAAATGCATATAATTGACACAATCGGTATTCAGCGAGAATGCATATCTGCTGCTTGGGCGTGGCAGTCATCCATCCACATATATAAAAGGCAAGACGCCCCCGCTAACTTGTCTTCCACCACCATCAACCAGCAACTCCTCAGTACCCAAGCAACTTCAACAATGAACGCCTACACTACTATCCTCGCCATCGCTGCTGTCGCTGTCGCTTCGGCCAACGCCCAGGTCTTCTGGATCCACTGATGGGAATCTCCCATGTCTGACACTCTGTTTTGTGGAGTTTGATATCTAGTCTTTGTAATCTGTCGACAAATATATACTGCAGCACTATATCTGTTTTGCACCATGGCAGAACTGAAAACAAATCTACAATATACTTGCGCACTGCTCGTGTGTGGTCACATATAGCCTTCTTTAATACTGCCCAGAATGGCCATGCCAGACGACACCACACTGCTATGAAGACATATGTCCAATCCAGTATGTCCACAGAATAGCATCCAGACTACAGCAGTTGAGACAAATAAAACCGACTACCTGCCTCATGGCCATGGTGCCTGCGCTGTGGCACTCTGTTCTACCATGTCTGTGCTCCTCATTAACGGCACTGTTGCTATCCAGACTCCTTATATATCTCGGATACATGCTCGTAGATCACGACTATAATGTAGACGACTGCGGTAGGTGTACATGTAGCCTCACACCATGTCTTTGCATTCTTTTTCATTGTGTCAAGCACACAGCACACCTGCTACCCAGTGGCTTCTGCATCCTAGGCAGCATGTATTTTTTAGCAAGTGGATTATTCCGGTTCCCATCGGGATTTCGATCCGGCCTGCTTGAGACTGGTTATGTAATAGTTGTCCCTTTCCCGTATTTGTATCTGCGCCTGTAGTAGGAGAACCAGGAATCAGCACAAAACTGCAAGAGCAAGGTATTTTTAGCACTGCTGGCTTTTCAATCTCCGCTGCTGCTCAGCCCTGCTGCCATGTCTTTGCACTATGCAAAGCCTGTTTTCATCCTGCTGCATGCACTTGTGCCAATGTATTCACCTTGCACCGACTTGGTCAAACTGGGTGATGGACTAATAATAGCGCCGACGGTCTTTTGTGATTTTTCTAAAATTACACCCCAAGCCTTTAGTCAGCAGGCACACATGGCGCCTGTGCATATCATGACCGTGCACTGGTGATGAGCTGGTAACCGGGCACGCATATAAAAGCTAGAGGAATCTTCCAGCGAAAAGTGGAAAGAGCATCAACACTCGGATTCCAACAAAAACATTAGCTTTTACACAGCCGCAAAAACCCTTCAACATACAGCCATGAAGATCTCTTCCATCTCTGCCATTGCCCTCGTCTCCCTCTCCCAGCTTGCGTCCGGGTATGCCATCAAGGGAAACAACATTAACTGCCGCTCTGGTCCTGGCACAAGCTACGGTGTTGTCCGCTCATACAGCAGCGGCGACGACGTCACGCTCTCCTGCCAGACCGAAGGTGAATCAATCAAGGGCGATTCGCTGTGGGACAAAACCCAGGACGGGTGCTATGTCGCCGACTACTATGTCAAAACCGGAACCAGCAGCTACGTCGCTGACAAGTGTGGTGCATCTGGTGGCAACACTGGCAACACTGGCAACACCGGCAGCACCAGCAACACCGGCAGCACTGGCGGCAGCGGGTTCTGCAGGACTCTGAACTCTGCGGCTGTCAGTCTGATCAAAGAGTATGAGAGCTCCAACAAATTCGTGGCAGCTCCCTCGCCTGACCCCATCGGCCTGCCGACTGTCGGCTTTGGCCACCGATGCCAGACCAAGGGCTGCGGTGAGGTCAAGTACGGCTTCCCGCTGAGCCAGTCCACCGCCGATGCTCTGCTCAACGACGACATCCCTGCCTACTCGTCGTGCCTTGCCACGTACCTCAAGAGCTCGATCATGCTCAACGACAACCAGTGGGGTGCACTGACATCGTGGGTGTTCAATGTCGGCTGCTCCAACGCGAAGTCATCGACCCTGATCAGGCGGCTGAATGCCGGCGAGAATCCAGGCACGGTGGCTGCACAGGAGCTGCCCAAGTGGCGCCTGGCTGGTGGAAGAGTGTTTGATGGGCTTGTCCGCCGCCGTAATGCCGAGATCAGCCTGTTCAACACGCCCTCATCAAAGCTGGCTTTCCCCAACTGCCAGTAATCTCGACCCAGCTGGAGGCTCACTCTGTAAAAATTGTACCAAAAGGGCCAGGTGATAGCGCTCTTGCAACATAAAACTGTCAGTATATTCGTAAATACCATCATTTTCTGAACTATTGGGCATTCCTGTTGACATTCGGGGTCCGGGGTCCCCCTGCGCCACCATAGACAAGGCCGAAACGCATACGTACAAAGGCCCAGACAGACGACCAGCCTTCCTTCTTCTTCTCAGTCATTTTGAGAAGTTGTTTTTCCATATATTCGATAACCACTCATTCCCCAAGTTAACATAACAAATACTGCTTTCAACCCCCTAAAATAATGGCTCGTCTGTTAGCTTGTTCCTATCGGAGATATGCTAACATTCCCACATGCTTATTTCCGATACAGGGTGAAATGTGTTCGTTAGTGTTGACGAATGTCAGCATGACTCTCACTTAAATAGGGCTCCAGACGGGCTTCTCATAAAATATGAGAAGCTAGCTTCCTTTCTAGCTGGACGTTGGTAGCTTACTATCTGGAGAATAAATATGCTACCAGTTAGAAGCAATATTGATGCTGCAGGTTTGTGATACCGGCATGATCGACCAGGACGGATACGTGCACATTCTGTCGCGTGCCGATGACATCATCAACGTGGCTGCCCACCGCATCTCCACCAGCTCGCTAGAGGAGGTGATTGTCGAGCACAATGAGGTCGCCGAGACATGCGTGGTTGCGCGCCCGCATTCGATCAAGGGAAGCGTGCCGGTAGTCATTGCCGTGCTCAAGCACCACCGCCTAGACCATACGCTGGACGAGATCAAGACCAGTCCACAGGAGTAATTTTTAGCGTACTATTGGAGAAACGGTACTAATGACCAAAATGCTATACTTTAGTGGCCACCAAACTTGTCCTTCTTCTTTCCAATGAAGTTTGATGCCAGGTGGGTCACAGCATCTTTGTCAAATCCGTTGGAGCTACCTCCATTCTGGCGATGGCCGCCCCCACTCTGACTGTGTTGGTTATAGTATCCATCATTGTAATAGCCACCGCTGCCATTCGAGTGGTTTTTCTGTTGGTTTAGCAAGGTCAGTGCGAATGTGGCCGCTGCGATTCCCACATCCTTAATGCCAGGCCGGCGATTGGATGGCGCCCCATGCTCGCCGTTATATGGGTTGTGGCCGTTGTCATGTCGGCCATCATAGCGGTTGCCATATCTGCCAGGTGCGTCATAAGCATCATGTGCCTCAGGCTGCTGCTTATGTCTATGCCTACGCTTTTTCTTATGAGTGGGCTGCGGGTTGGCATGATGGCTGCTGCTACCATGACCAGAAGGGCGGTCATTCCCATACTGGTCGCTGAAAGTAATCTGGTGCTGGCCGTGTCTACCGGCGCTGCCTGCACTGCCTCGCATGTCCGAGTACGAGTAGTCTGTCGGCCCGACAGGCCCATGCGCGACCTGGTTATATGCATCGTAGTGCCCTGGGTTGCCATACAAGTCCTGGTTTCGGTGCCTGTCGTTTGCGTAGGAGTTGTGGCCTCCCTCTCTCATCCTCTCGCTCTGATATTGCTGGAACGCAATGGCAGCAACGTCCTTCAGCTTGTTAAGGTCCATAGTAAATAGGTCAGCAAATAAAGAAGTGGTGTGTGGATATTGGCAAGGAAAAAGAGAGTGCAAGATAAGAAGACAACTCAGTCCCGCCACCAAAGGTTGTCAAAATCATAGATAGTGAAAAATACCCAATCCAATCTGCAACACCCGCGTCTCATGTGGCCGGCAGGTGCAGACAATACCGCATATCAGGTGGGGGCGTCTGTGGGTAGATCTTCCGTGAATTCTTCTGTCCCCTCATCCTCACTGGATACTCTCGCTGTCTTGAGTGGCATGAGCACGCTGGTTGCTTTGCACAGCAGGTTGGCGGGATACCGAGGAGCGCTACTGAGCATGCCATTGCACCATTATGAATCAGAAGTAGCACATGCAACACTATGTATGAGACAGCCACATTCCAAGGACTGCATGTAAACGTGCAATTTCATCCGAATGTCTTGGCGCATCAAGACACGCAGCTCCACATGAGCCACTTGACCATGCCATCATAAAGCTGCTTCAATGAACAGCATGGCGGTGTCTATGCTGCCCTTCCAGCTTGCTCCCTCTGCCTGGCATAATGCCCTAAAGAGAGAACCACATCACTATTGCCTGCATTCGGGATCAGTTGATTTAGATCAGATTAGCCACTGGTGCTTAGTTGGCACGGCGAGTGTGTTGTATTCTTTTTTTTTTCGCTCTCTGAATTATTCCCGACGATTTCGAGTATTTATTATATTACAAATCGCTCTATTACGCTTCAGGCTAACATTCTGCCATCTGAACCTTGCACTTGACTTTTCTACTCGTGTACAGACAGGCTCCATATACCCCCCAAGGACCATTTTCGTTAGAAGCGAGCTATGGAGACGGAGCTTCCACAGCTGCTAGGGCTCTCCGAGGCTGTTGTTAAGGCAGTGCTTGAAAAGACCCATGGTGACGCTGATGCACAGCAGTTTCTAGATCGTGTGCGCGAGAGGCTAGCTGATAATGCAGATGACGCTGACGTGGAGCAACTGAAGGCGCAGCTCAAGTATGACAACACGCGTTTAGGTAAGAAGTGGCTGGCTTCCGCTGATTTCACAATGAGCAAGCTGGCACTAAATAGATTTTGATGCTGATAGAGCAAGAGGTGCATCGTCTGACCAAGCAGATTGGACAGCTGCGCAGCACAGCAGCCGGCGCCGAGACTGAGACGAAGACTGTGCGCGAGGAGCTGCAGGCAACGAAGGCACAGCTCGACGATGTCACGCGCAACTTGCAGGACCAGCGTGAGCTGGTTGAGTCCAAGGCACATTCCGAAACTCAGCTACGCGAGCAAGCCGATCAGCTACGTGATGAAAAGCGCGCTCTTTTGAGCCAGATCGCTGAGAAGCGCGACGAACTTGACGGCAAGGCTAAGGAGATCGACCGGCTCAGCGAGGTTATCCACGACCTGCAGCAGGCGCGCGAGACAGAGAGGGAAGAGCTGGCAAGGCTGCGGTCGCAGACATCTGTGTCTGACGTCAGCGAGCACATGCTGAAGCAGTCGCTTGATTTGGCCAAGAACCAGGTCAAGTGGCTAGACGATGAGCTGACAACAACACAGGCGCAAATGCAGCAGGCAAGATCGGAGCTGGCCCGTTTGTCGGCGACTAGTAAGGCGGAGGCAGAGCAGCTGCGCGCAGATATCGAGGCGCTGACTGAGCAGACGGCGGAGCTGCGCGAGCGCAACACGATTGCAGAGCGCACTCTGCGTAGCAAGCTTGAGAGCGAGCGAGCAGCCAAGGAGGAACTGATTGAGCAGACCGAGCAGTTTAAGCGCGAAATGACAGCGCAGAAGAAGCTGTGCAGCGAGTGGGAGAAGACCGCTGAGGCCTCCAGGCAGCATGTGCGCAGTGTCGAGCAGAGCCTGCAGGAGCTTGAAGAGCACCAGCGTGGGACCGAGGAGAAGGCGAACCAGGCAGTGGCGATGATGGAGCAGCGTGTCGACGAGCTCGAGACAGCATACGAGAATGCGCAGGAGCAAATCCAAAAGCTGACTGGCGAGCTAGAGACAGCCAACGCACTGCTGGACCGGTCGGCGCGGGGCCAGCCGATGAGCATTTCGCCTACTGCCAGGGTCGCCATCCAGATGCTGAACGCGAGCCAGGACGGACGCATCAACATCACGCAGCTGTATACTGAGAAGGTTGCACTCGAGGACAAGCTCAAGAAGTCGGAAGCAGAGGTTGCTTGTCTGCGCGAGAGCATGGAGCAGATACTGAGCGAGATCGAGGAGCGTGGCCCGATTATCGCCGCAGAGCGCGAAGAGTATCATAGGCTGCTCGAGGAGGCAGACAAGCTGTCGTGCGATCTCACAGAATCGCGGCAGGAGAATGACAAGAACGTGGCTACGCTGAAAAAGACTCGCAAGGAGCGCGATTTGCTGCGCCAGCAGCTTTCAGCTGAGGAGCAGCAGACCAGAGACCTGTCGCGGCAGGTGGCCAATCTGCTGCGCAAGGCGGAGGAGGCGCGCTCCGGTGGCCGCACGGTGCCTGAGGCGCGTGATAACGGCGGTCGGCCGAGCGCATCGCAGGTTACACCTGATGAGGAGGAACAGTGGCTGGATGATGTCGACAAGGTTATTTCGCAGGGGCTGGTGACATTCAACAACATCACCGAGATTGTTGAGCAGAACCGGCGTCTTTTGCGAACCACCCGCGAACTAGCGAGCCACGTTGCTCAGGAAGAGGAGCGCCAGCGCGAGGCAAACGAGGGCGAGGTCAAGGAGGCTCTGGATCAGGCCGAGGTGATGCTCGATCGGTTAACCAAAGAGCTGCATACCACCAAGACCCGGCTGAGTGTAGTCGAGCGCGAGCGCGATATGCTCAAGTCAATCAAGGGCAACCCGAAACTTGGCAGCGATAATGAAGTAGACGTCCCGCCGCCAGTTGCTACTCAGATGGTCGGGCACAAGGCAGTCGTCACTGCCACCGAAGCGACCAGCACTGTTGACCCACTGACGCAGCTGCAGTCCGAGTATAAAACATACATCGCCGAATCGCGCAAGACTAGAGGCCAGCTCGAATCTGACCTGGCCAAGCTGCAGGGCGAGGTGTCAGAGTTGCGCGTGCGTGCTGCCAAGGCTGAGGCCCAGAGCGAGTTCGACAACGAGCGCGTCCAGCTATTTGTGCGTGATCTCGAAGGCCGGCAGAAAGAAGTCGAGCACCTGCGCCTTGCAACCTCACGGCTGCACAAGCAATCTGAATCGTACGAGAAGGAGCTCGACAACCTTTCATCCAGCCTGGCGGCAGAGCGCGTCGAGCTCAGTAAGCTGCAGCGGCAATTGGATGCTGCCGAGGGGGAGCGCGATCTGCTGCGGCAGAGTGAGCAGCGCTGGCGCAGCGATGAGCAGCGGCTGGTTGCTGAGCGCGCGAGTATGACGCAGATCTTGCAAAACACGACGAATATGCGTGAGGAGTGGCAGAAGGCATCCGAGGAACAGCTTGTCCAGATCCGCGAGCGGCTCGATAGCGCCCGCAAGGAGACGGATTCGGTGCAGCAGGAGCTGAAGCGCAGCCGCGAGGCCAACGAGCGTGCCCAGTTCAAGTTCGACAGGGAGCGGCAGGAGCTGCGTGGCCAGATCCAGCAACGCGAGGATCGCATTTCGCAGCTGCAGGAGCAAATTCAGACTGCCAAGGAGGCGACTATGCACGTCACTGGCGAGAAGCGTGAGGTCGAGATTGCCCGCGATGCGCTGAGACGCCAGGTAGCTGCACTCGAGGCCAAGATCCGCGAGCAGGAAGAGCTGGTCAAGCGTGTGCGCACCCAGGGCAAGGACGTGACCAGCGAGTCGCTCCTGGAGACCCAGCTTAGCGACGCCCACTCGCAGCTCGATTCGTTGCACAGCGAGCTAGAGACCACTACCAAGCGTGCCGAGGATTTCCGCCAGCTGGCCGAGACCAACGACAATATGCTCAAGGGTCTCAGCGAGACATACGATCAGTTCAAGGCCGAGCAGGAGCAGGTGGCTGCTGAGCAGCAGGCCAAGATCCAAGCTTTGGAAGATGAGTTGGCGACGCTGAAAAAGACCCTTACCGACTGCCGCGAGGAGCTGGCCGCTACCCGCACGTCGCTGGAGAATGCTAATGGCGAAGCTGCCGAAAGCCGGGTGAAGTACGAGACCCAAATCGCTGACCTTGTAAGCGATATTGGGAAAAAGCAGGGCTCACTCGCAAAGCTTCGCGATGATTTGCGGCGCAAAACCGAGCAGTGCCAAGAGCTGCAGGAGCAATATGAGCGCGAGATTGTCGCCCATGCCAAGGACGTCGAGACCACGCTTGTTGCCCGCGAGAAGTTGCGCGAGACTCAGAGCAAGCTGACCATAGCCAACAGCGAGCTCAGGGCAGCCAAGAAGAGCAACGACCAGGCGACTGCTGCTGCCAAGCATGAGGTAGAGCAGGCAAAGGAATCGGCCCAGCGCGCAGAGTCCCGCCTGGCAGAGATCCAGCGCCAGAACTCGATTCTGATGGCGCACTTGGAGTCGATCGGACAGACAGTTCCTGACGTTACTGTAGACCCAGAGCGCATTTCTGCCGAAGCAGACTCGCAGCAACCAGGTGATGTGACGGCGCCGAGTACCGGCGCTCCAGCTGCTCAGGCTGCTGGCGAGCAGGGCGGTCTGCGTGAGATTGTCGTTTATTTGCGTCGCGAGCGTGATCTGGTGGCTGCCCAGCTCGAGCTGGCCCAGCAGGAGTCGCAGCGGTGGAAGCAGCAGGCCAGCCATACGCAGCGGGCACTCGATAATGTCCGTGGCGAGCTGTTGCAGTACACTCCTGCCGACCAGGTTCCGTCGTCCGACGACAGCGCGGAGAAGCCCGTGTCGGCCAATGCTATCCCCGATGGCGAAGGACCCATCACTCTTACAGCGTCTCAGCGCAAGACTGCGCGGCAGCAGATTGAGAACGGCATGCTCCTGCGCGAATCCAATGTTGTCATGCGGTCGGACCTGAACCTTGCCCGCAGAAAGCTGAAGGCCATCGAGGCAGAACTATCGAACCTGAAGAACCAGGTCGTGCCGCAGCTGCGCGGCGACAATGCGACCCTGCAGGCAGAGCTGGAGGCGACCAGGGCGCAGGCAGAGCAGTTGCAGGGCATGTGCGACCACTGGAAGCAGCGGCACGAGAAGGTTTTGGCGCGCTACCAGATGATCGAGCCCGATGAGTACGAGTCGCTGAAGAGGGAGAACCAGCAGATGAAGCAGCAGGCAGAGGAGTCAGCAAAGGAACGCGCTGACCTGCAGATCCAGGCGAACAAGGTTCTGCAGCTGCAGTTGGAGATTGACCAGCTCAAGGGCCAGGCAGAGAAGCACATCGCTACGCTTGAGGAGGAGCGCAAGAGGGTAGCTGACAAGGAGAAGCAGATCACTGAGCTGCAGAGCAATGTCACCCAGGCGCAGAGCAGCTCGAAAACGGCCAAACGCATTGGCAGAGGCAACGCAGAAGAAGTACGACAAGCTGCATAATTCGTTCAAGAAGCTGCGCGAACAGTCGCAAGACGGCTTCAGGAGTCGCCAAGAGATCATCAGCCAGAAGGAAGCCGACATTGCCGAGCTCACCGAGAAGGTGCAGGCGCTGGAGGCCCAGGCTAAGAGTGTCGGCGAGACTGAAGGTCAGACGCAGCCAGACGCTGGTGTGCAGACCCAGTCCAAGGACAGGATTGACCAGATCGAGCAGGAGAAGCAGGAGATCAAGCAGACGTACACGAAGCTGCTGGTCGAACATACGCGGCTGGCTGACGAGCTTCGCCAGACACAGGCGCAGCTTGAGGAGGCGCGTGCACAGCCCACATCGGCCGAGCCAACAAGCGCTGAGCCTGCGCCGGGAGTTGATACTGCCGAGGCTGACCGTCTGAAGAAGAAGCTCGAGGAGACCGAGCTGCAAGTCAAGAGCCTCGATGAGCAGGCCGCGCAACTCAAGGCCAAGGCGCTCAAGTTCTTCCGCGACAACAAGACCATGACGCAGCAGATCCGGGAGCTGCGGACAGCCAACGCCGAGCTGGAGAAAACGGTCAAGGAGCTGCGCGAGTCTGCCAAGGACACGCCGCCCAGCGAGCTGCAGACACAGCTGGATGAGGCGCGTGCCCAGCTCGCCAAGGCCAAGGACAGCCAGAAGAAGGCCGTTGCACAGGCAAAGAAGGCGGCCGAGCTCAAGTCGAAGATCAGGCTGGATACTGCTACCAAGAAGAGCGCGACGCTGGAGGCCAAGGTGAAGGAGCTGGAGGCGCAGATCGCACAGCCTGCGACGGACGCTGCGTCGCTGAAGCGGCCGCACGACGGCAGCGATGGCCCGGCGAAGAAGGCGCACGTAGATGCCACAGCCAAGTAATATTTCCGATTTTTAATATGTCCAACCGAAAACACTCCGAGTATATCACCCACATGCCATGTCTGCCTGCAGATGTGAGTGGCGACGTAGAGCCGACCCTAAATGCCGAGGGTACCCGCCGAAAACCGCCGCTGCTGTTGGGCAGCCCGGGCTGCAATTTATCCACCCCGTGGATATTTTCTTGGTGCGGCGGAGTTTTTCAGCCCAATAGCTCAACCGCAAAATACCCCCGCGCCATTGCCTTAAAAGCCTGATCCGCCCTCTGTTTGCGCACAATCCTCGCAAAACCTTTCTTTTATCTCCACGCTATCTGTTCTTGTCTATTTTGACACTACACCTTTTGGCTCGTTCTCTTTTCCTCCTCTCCCACATACAAACGCCAAAGATGCTTGCCCGTTTCGCTGTTGTCCGCCGTGGTGCTCGCGCCGCCGGTACGTTTCTCCCCCTGCCGAATTTGGGCCTGGTGTTGAATTCAACTCCACTAACTAGCTTGCTTCTGTAGCTGCCCGCTTCCACACAGCTGCTGTTAACGCAGAGGCTTCGCAGTTCACCATGCCTGCGCTGTCGCCGACCATGACCTCGGGCGGAATTGCCCACTGGGAGAAGAAGGAGGGTAAGTGTCGTTTTGATCCACCGCGCTTGAGCAGAAACGGGTCCTGGCAATCTGCCCGGCAGTCACAAAGCTCCCCAACATGAAGGCGTGGTGCTTGTGGAAATTATCCATACAGCTCGTGCGCTGCTTTGCGCCGTTGCAGGATAGCAGGTGTCCCTTGTGCGCACAATTTTTTCCACGAGAAAACGTGCCAGAACGTGCGCACTTACTCACAGGCTTTATTGGTATATAGGCGAATCTTTCTCGGCTGGCGATCTCCTGCTGCAGATCGAGACGGATAAGGCGCAGATGGACGTCGAGGCTCAGGACGATGGAGTTCTGGTCAAGATCCTGGCGCCGGAGGGCACACAGAACGTCAGCGTCAACCAGCCGATTGCCATTATTGCCGAGGAGGGCGACGACATCGGAAGCATTGATATTGCTGCGCCTGTCCTCGCCATCTGCTGCCCCGGCCGCTGCTGCTGAGGCTGCTCCTGAGCCCGCCGCTGCCCCGACTCCGGCTGCCCCGGCTGCTGCCCCTGCTGGTAAGTTTGAAGACAGTCAGGGAACTGCCGAGCATGACTAGGCTGCCCAGACATGTGTACTCACCGCCATGATCTATACTGTGTAGCCGAGAACCACTCGACTGATAACTCGGCCCATGACCAGCTGTCACCGGCTGTTTCGTTTGCCATCCACGCCAACCACATCTCTAACGTTGCTGATATCCCTGGATCTGGACCCAAGGGCCGCATTCTGAAGGGCGACGTCCTGAGCTTCCTGAAGTCTGGCAAGGCTGTTATCAACAAGGACGCCGTATCACACACTGCCCCTGCTGCTGCCCCTGCCACCGCGGCTGCCGCTCCAGCCAAGAAGGCTAGTCCAGCTCCTTCGGCCGATGCCGAGACTGCGTTCCTGGTGAGGTCCTTGGAATCTTCGGTCCTGCGCCATCTGGCGGAGCTCGAGCTCGCCAAGAAGACCACCTCTGTGCAGATCCCGGCTGAGAAACTGGCCAAGCTTACAAAGGCTAACAAGTCGCTGAGCGAGTCCGTGTTCGCGCTGCGTGCTGCTGCGCTCGCCCTGCACCAGGTACCTCTGGGCAAGACCAGCACCGTTGGCGTTGCTGTTGATGGCTCCAAGGCGCCGACTGTTGTCGAGATTGCTAATGCGGCGACGCTCAGCGTGCTTGATCTGGCTGCTGCGATCAAGGAGGCGGCCAAGTCTGGTAAGGCTGCGGAGCAGACCCCCGCAGTCATCCTAGCTACTGAGGGCCAGTACACACCCCAGACGCTGCCGGCCGGAGCCACAGTTCTGGTTGTCGGCAAGCCGTATGCCGCTGTGTCGACCGCCGACGCTGGCGCCGTGCTTGATAGCGCCTTGAACGAGCTGATTAGCGGATCTGCCAGCGCTGGCAAGGCGGCCAAGCCAACAGCACTGATTAATGTCAGCATCATTGGCGACTCGCCTGCCGCTGGTGCGTTCGCCGGCAAGATCAAGGGATTCCTTAGCAACCCGGAGCTGCTCACCTTCTAGACGTCCATGTTCAAAAATATAATTAAGCTTGTGCTTGGGACGGACAGTGCGCGAGTTTTGTTCCATGATGAGGATTTCTCAGAGCTTGCAAGAAATTGCCGCAGTGGTATACGGTTACCCGCTTGCCACCAGCAAGGCGGCGAGTTTTTTGCCGCCCATGCCGTCGCTGTCTGCTTCGCATATAGCAAGACATGCTGCATAACCCGAGGCAAGTTCCCTGTTGGCATGCTCAAACCTTTTCGCACTATGAATTATCGGAAAAGAAGGGGGTGGGTTGGTTTACTCGTGTAGAAACACGGCGCGTTCCGGTCCCGTGGAACGCATGGTGTTGTGCTCCGTGCCTGTTTCCAAGGAGATGTAGTCGATGATCTGCTGCCACCATACGAGGAAGATTCGCCTCCTGCTCTTATTCTACATATGTCCAGTACAGATCGATGGTGCAAGAATGTTCTTGTACCGTACCTTGCTTCGGCACCAGTTCTTCGCCATCCCTCATATAGGCTTCATATATGCCCCTAGGTGACAAACAGTACGCAGTGTAAGCTGGCGATCATGTAGCTTGATAGAAATCAACTCATCTGGATCATGATCTGGGCTGTGGACGGAACCTAGGTCGACCAAATGTGCGCGTGATCAGACAACGATTGCAGCTGGTTGCGGCCAGCACCCTACACGGTTGAAAACGGAGATGCCTAGCCGATATGGCAGGTGGTGACGTCCCGATATCCATGGAAATCAAGCTGGAATCCTGCTGGTGGACAAAACAAGTGCAAATGCTCCGACGGTAAGGACAGGGGGGTGCCGAGCCAACCCCTCCCTCCCATCCGTATGTGGCCACAGTCGGTGTGATCCGGCTGGTTCACTACTGCCAGCAATTGCCCGGAAAGGAACACAGAAGCACATGGCCCACATACGCTGCAGCCGGAGAATGGTGCAAAATAGGCAGACAAAGGGGGTGTTGGGATGGTTGACTGGCTGTAGAGCTGAAAGAGACCGAGATGAGGCATTGAAGTGCCCATCAGATGCATGCTGTGCATCGGAAGTAAAGGCTGAGTGTGCCGACGGAGATTATTGCATCGAATGAAATTTGTCGCAGGGGTGGATCGACATTGGCTTGGTGCAGCTTTTTCCAGCGTTTTGTTTAGGGTAATTTCTCCGACTCGCCTTGATGAGTAGGTCGCTTGGACCGGTGGCCAGCTGAGCCAGCGAATCCGTAGTCCAAACTCTGGCCTGCTGTTGCGCCAGGCTGTGCATTTCCCGTCCGTCAAGCTGCGTATCTTTTTGCAAGAGCAATGGCCTTCTAAGGCAATTCCAGACTTCACGCAGGATTTGCGCTTACCTTTGCCAGCGATGAACACCCTGTAGGCGTTTCATAGGAGCCAAGAAAGTGCCTTCTGAAGGAAGAGAATTGCTCGGTGGAGCCATCATCTACAAAGCAGACCATGAGTATATAAGGAGCGGCCCGCTCCCGCTACCCGCTCTTGCTGCTCTTAGTCTGTCGCTTAACACAACATCTCGCCCAAAGTATTATCTTGGCTGCCGCCTTGACCGGATCCCGCACCATTGTAATATCTTTTCCTCTAAATATAACAGCTTCCTGTATTCTCCCTTGGCTCTTGTACTTTATCTGGCACAATACTGCGTCTGCATCCTCCTGTATCTGGCCTGCAGCCCTGTATTCTACAACATCTCTGAGTGTCCATCCCTCATCTGCTGGCTCTCAAACCTCCTTCACCACTCCCAGTATAGCACCTTAATAGCCATCCAAGCCTGCGTTTCTGGCCACTCTCAAGAATGGGCTGGATTGACAATCTCAATAGCCATGTCGCCAAATCGCCGGTCGGCCGGTGGTTCCGTCTCAGCGGCTCCGGCGCAGTTGTCGAGCGCGACAACTCAAAGTTCTCTGTCGAGATCCGTGCTGGTCTGACGACATTCATCACGATGGCGTATATCATCTCGACCAACTCGCTCATCCTGACTGACACGGGTGGTACGTGCGACTGTGACCGCGAGCAGTTTGGTGCCACATGCACCAATGACCCGGCCTACGCATCGTGCCTCCAGGAAATCAAGATGGACTTTATCACGGCCACATGCGCGATCTGCTGCATCGGCTGTGTCCTAATGGGTGTTGTTGGTAACCTGCCGATTGCATTGGCTCCCGGAATGGGCCTGAACGCCTACTTCACCTACACTGTTGTTTGGATTCCACGGCACTGGCAAGGTGCCATACACCAGGGCGCTGGCTGCCGTGTGCATTGAGGGCATCATTTTCTTCATCTTGTCGCTTGTCGGCCTTCGCCAGTGGCTTGCCCGCCTCATCCCGGCCAGCCTCAAGACTGCCACTGCTGCCGGCATCGGAATCTACCTGGCATTTATCGGTCTGCAGTCGTCGGCTGGAATCGGCCTCATCACCGGCAGCTCGGCTACTCTAGTTGAGCTCGGTGGGTGCCCGCCCGAGTTCCGTGACGAGAAACATGTGTGCACTTCGCATCATATGGCCGGTGGGCCAACCTGGCTCGGCATTGCTGGTATCATCATCATTACCATTCTGATGCTGTATCGCGTCAAGGGCGCCATTCTGGGCTGGTATCCTGCTGGTTGCCATCATTTCATGGCCGCGTGGCACGCCGGTCTCATACTTCCCTTACACAGAGAATGGCGACATTGGCTTCAACTTCTTCAAGAAGGTCGTCACATTCCACCCGATCCAGAACATTCTGGCTAAATTCGACTGGGAGTTGAAGGATGGCGACGTGTGGCTGGCCCTGATCACATTCCTGTACGTGGATATCCTTGACTGCACGGGCACCATGTTCTCAATGGCCAAGTTTTGGTGGCTTCCTCAACGAGCGCACGCAGGACTTTGAAGGCTCTGCCTTTGCCTTCCTCTGCGACTCCTCGACCATCGCCATTGGCTCCATCCTGGGTCTGTCGCCGGTTTCGACCTTTGTCGAGTCTGGTGCTGGCATTGCGGAGGGCGGCCGCACCGGTCTGACCAGCGTTGTCACCGGCATCGGGTTCTTTGTCGCCCTGTTCTTTGCGCCTTATTTTTGCGTCGTTCCCGCCTGGGCTACCGGTCCTGCTCTGGTCTCAGTCGGCGCCATGATGCTCCAGAACGCCGTCCATGTCAACTGGTCGTACATCGGCGATGCAGTGCCTGCCTTTCTGACCATCATCATGATTCCCTTCGGGTACTCGATCGGATACCGGTCTGATTGCCGGCATTGGGTCGTACATCATCATCAACACGCTCGTGTGGCTGCTGGCCAAGGCGTCGCGCGGCCGCATCGTCCCGCCAAACTACGAGGACAAGACCGAGTGGAACGCGTACCTGACGCGCGGCCGCTACAAGGCTATTCCTCCGCCCTGGCTCCGCAGGCTCCTGCGCCATCAACGCCCCAGAGCTGTTCGACGACAAGTCGAGCATTGACCGCGAGCTCAAGGCGCAGATGAGCCAGAGCCGCGACATCCTGTAATCACACGGCCCTCGCAATGTTATCTTCCAGGCCCAACAAAAAGCGCCCAGAGCCCAGCGACCCAGAGGCTGGCGCTCGAAAGTTCCCACCGTTTCTAATCATTTTTTGTGCCCTTTTTCTGTGCTGTCCGTTTCAACTTTACCCCAATTTTCTCTAGCGATTGCCCAGAGGGACCGGCCGGTGGCATCTGCTTCTTCACTCTGGGAAGGATGCGCATGGCCGCTCCACTGCCAAAGCCGCGCTGACCAGATCTGGCGCAGCTGCGCCGGCCGCAGATCGAGACCGGTGGTTTTCTACTGTGGCTCACAGCGAAAGTGGGATGTTTCTGTAAAAGGCACCCATCTACCACAGAGTCAATTTCCCCAATCCCGGATAATGTCACGGCGCTCCATGTTCCCTGCGCGCGATTCTGCGCCACCGTCCCAGACGCGGCATGGCCTGGTACCATCGCCGGTCCGCTGCCAGCATGACCTGATGCCTCGCCCCTAGTAGCTGCAGTCCCATGGACAGGTGTCACAAATAGTGCACAGAGTGGGATTAACAGCGGCAACTGTGATTCACGCCTTTTTTGTCATGCTCTCATTCCCCCAGCTTTCTTCCCGGACGGCGTCTGCAACCTGACAGGCTGGAATGCCACAATGCGTTGTGATCGACGCCGTCGCTGGAACAACAAATCCGTTCGTATCTGTCTCATCACATCAGCCGTCGCTGAGTTAACAGCGGGCGAGAGGCAGGAGGGGGTGGGTCGCGGCCCCTGGTTCCTCCGACGGTTCTGCACATGAAAGGCAGCGCTTCTCCGGCGACGCCAATCCGCCCTTGACATGCTGTCCTGGCGTTCTTTTTTGCGGGGGTCGTGTAGGAATCTGCATCTCTGCGATGCTCTTGCCTTGGCGGATCATGCAATGCGGAAGGCAAAGTACGTGCGCACGTAATAATGCTGCAGGCCTCACTGCCTGCCCTCCTTCCACCGGCGACCTTGGAAAGAAAAAAAATCGGTCGTCAGGGAGTGACATCTGCACATCCTTTTGCTCTCGAAAAAATTTTGTTCCGAGCTCATCCTCATTAGCAAGTGCGCGCAAAGGGGATTTTATTTCGTTCACTGCACACTGGCCGCCTTCCGCCGGATCGAGTATAAATAGCATTGGGCCCGCCCATTGTTCGTCTACCAGAAGGAATAGGACAACGCATCTCTCTTGTGTGCAACTTTTTTGTCTCCCTCCTATATATCCCCTGTAATATCTGTTACGGCACGCTACCTCTGCCCATTGCCATTTACTGTCTCAAGCATGGGCTGGATTGACAAGCTAAAACACCCGTGTTGCCCGCACGCCTTTCGGCAAGTGGTTCCGCCTCGAGGGCTCCGGCGCGCCGTCCGAGCGTGCTGGATCCAAGTTCTCTGTCGAATTGCGCGCTGGTCTGACGACATTCATCGCCATGGCATATATCATCTCGACGAATGCGCTCATCCTCACCGACTCTGGAGGTCCTTGCGATTGTGACCGCGAAAAGTTCGGCGCTACCTGCGAAACAGATCCCGCCTACGCGACATGCCTCCAGGAGGTCAAGCTGGATCTGATTACAGCCACCTGCGCCATCTCCTGCCTTGCCTGTGTGCTGATGGGTGCCCTGGCTAACCTGCCGATTGCGCTGGCTCCCGGAATGGGCCTGAACGCCTACTTTGCGTACACCGTCGTTGGGTTCCACCGGCACTGGCAAGGTCACGTACCAGAATGCTGTTGCGGCTGTGTGCATTGAGGGCATCATCTTCTTTGTGCTGTCGGTTATTGGTCTGCGCCAATGGTTTGCTCGTCTGATCCCGCTGTGCCTCAAGACTGCCACTGCCGCCGGTATCGGAATCTACCTGGCATTTATCGGTCTGCAGTCGTCGGCTGGAATCGGCCTCATCACCGGCAGCCCGGCTACTCTAGTTGAGCTCGGTGGGTGCCCGCCCGAGTTCCGCGACAAGAACAACCTGTGCACCTCTCACCACATGCAGGGCGGCCCGACCTGGCTCGGCATCATGGGTCTGATGGTTATCGGCACTCTTCTCCTGTACAGACTCAAGGGCGCTATCCTGATCGGCATTGTGCTTGTCGCCATCATCTCGTGGCCACGCCCGACCTCGGTAACGTACTTCCCGTACACCGAGGCCGGCAAACGGCGCGTTCGACTACTTCAAAAAGGTGGTCGCCTTCCACCCGATCAAGCACACGCTCAGCTCGTACCACTGGGACCTGTCGTCGGGCGAAATCTGGATTGCGCTGATCACGTTCCTGTATGTGGATATCCTCGACTGCACAGGCACCATGTTCTCGATGGCCAAGTTTGCTGGCTACATGGACGACAACACCCAGGACTTTGAGGGCTCCAGCATGGCGTTCCTTGTCGACTCGGCGTCGATTGTCGGGTCGGCGTTCGGCTCGTCGCCAGTCACTGCATTCATCGAGTCTGGCGCGGGCATTGCCGAGGGCGGCAAGACTGGCATTACCACTATGATCACCGGCCTTATGTTCTTCATCTCGCTGTTCTTTGCTCCGATCTTTGCGTCGTTCCCGCCCTGGGCCACTGGTCCGGCCCTGATTACTGTCGGATCGATGATGATGCGCAATGTTATCTCGATCAACTGGAACTACGTTGGCGACGGCCTGCCTGCATTCATCACCATCATCATGATCCCGTTCGGCTACTCGATCGGATACGGTCTGATTGCCGGCATTGGCTCGTTTATCTTCATCAACTCTGCTGTCTGGATCTTGCACAAGGTCTCCGGCGGCAGAATCTGTCCGCCCAACTTCAACGAGCGCGACAACTGGGTCGAGTTTGTCACCCGCGGTGGCTTCAAGAGCAACATCCCGCCCTGGATCATGCGCCTGTTTGGCAAGCAGCCGGTCTCGCTGGCTCCTCACCACGACGTCGGCTCGGAGAACGAGCTCAAGGAGATCGCAATCGAGAACAGCAAGTCAATCCACTAATCCCCAACACCAGCTACTAATCTCTCTCTGTAATCATCTACCACTAATAATCAAATCAATGCTTGGCCTCTTTTTTTTCTTCGCCGATGTCAATGTCTCCAGCGAAAAGACTGGTTTGACAAAAAACTTTTTCTTCTATTTAACCCTCCTTGCGCCATTTCTCTTGCTCGCATTTCTTCTATCTACTTGTTCTTGCTGCTGTGCAACTGGGAACCTACGCAGAGGCACACGTGCACATTTTCTATCTATATATACACATATCATACACAGCAACCTGCGCGTAACGGGAGGATCGGTATACTGAGAATGAAGGACACAGGGTTTGCGGCGCAGCTGAACACCACGGGCGGTGCCAACACCTACCGGTTCAAGTCTTTCAAGCAGCGCGTCGAGGGGATCGAGATCAATGTCTCGCGGCGCGTGAAGCGCGACCTCGATGAGCCCGAAGAGTACGACTCGTACCTGGCCGAGGCTGTGCTCAAGTGGGGCGAGCTCAACTGCACAAACGACTTTACAGAGCTTCTGAGGAAGATCAGAGACTACCATCAGTCGCTGGCCCAGGTCCTCTACCACAAGGAGCAGATCGTCGGCGTGCTGGAGGGCTACCTGTCGATGGATCACGAAGGCGTACTTGAGCCTGTGCTAGAGTAAGTTGCGCGCTAGCAGTGGGTAGCCATGTATATTGGCATGCTGCATGTATGTGTTGCTAACTCTTCCTATGAGCTATAGTCTGGTCACTACGCTGGCGCGGGATCTCCAGGACGAATTCATGCCGTTTTACCAGCAGCTGGTCCAGCGCATCCTGCCGCTGATGAAGGTCGAGAACCCGAAATCGTCGAATGGTCCTGTAATGCCCTCGCGTACTTGTTCAAGTATCTGTCAAAATCCCTGGTGCCAACCTCAGCTCAACATTCGACCTCGTTGCGCCGATCCTCGGCACAGAGCGGCAGAAGGCGCACACGCGACGGTTTGCAGCCGAGTCGCTGGCATTCTTGATCCGCAAGCTGCGCGGCGACTCGCTGCAAACGTTTGTTGGCCATGTTGTCCAGGCACTGGTCGCGTGTCCAGACAAGCGCGTGGCTGGGTTCAGAGAAGGCATTGCGCTGCTGTTCTTTGAATGCATCCGCAGCGTCGATGGGCGGCTGCACTCGCGTGCTTCAGGCTCCTCACTGCGCTTCTGGTTGAGCTATACAAGGAGTCCTGTGGGAAGCGGCTCGAGGACAACCAGGTATATCTGCTTACATTGTCGATTATCAAGATGTGCCTGCATTACGTGAAGCGCGACACATCCGAGCAATCTGGTCGGTTCTTCTCGCTGAGTACGATGCCAGGTGCGCGCCATCACGGGCTCGAAGGCCGGTCGGCTTGAGCCATACTGTGCCCTGCTTGGCCTGCTGGCTTCCTGCGACGATTCTGCGCAAAGGCAGCCGTGTCCGCGATTACAAGGCGCTGTTCCAGCGGTGCCAGTCGGCATTCGAGATCGCGTCACTGGTGAGCAGCGAGACGTATAAGAAGCCGGCCGACGAGAAATGCGTAGCAGTCATGGCCCACGAGCGCATCAAGTGGCTCTCGGGCCTGCTTTTGCAGAGCAGTGTCACTGAGATGGTGGCTGTCGGAAGGCTGCTGCTGGATGCTGTGTTTGAGAGCGAGTCGATGAAGACGCCCTGTCGATGGCGCTGACCCTGGCCCGCCTCGAGTGGTCGCAGTGGAACCAGATCCTGCTTCCATACCTGGTCAACTGACAGTCTCCAAATGGGCTGACCACAAGAACATCTTGCTGCTCTTTTGGGCGGAGCTCTTTCAGCTGGACATGTTCAAATCTTACTGCCAGTCTCGGTCATCACATCGCGAGGCCAGATTCTGTTTCCATCGGCGTCCGGGAAGAAGGCAAAGAAGACGGCATCTACGAGCGTATCGCAGTCGCTGCTGCAGTGGCTGCTCGAGCCTGTTTGAATGGTCTGATCTACTCGACCACCAAATCACGATTCCGTCTGGTGAGGCGACCATGTTCAGCGGATTCGATGACAGCGAGGACGACACACCAGCATGGCTAGCAAGTCATCATCATCTGGGGATTCCAAGAACTCGGTGGTGTCCGAACTCTCGATCAAATCGGCCATCCTGTCGGTTCTGACAAACATCTCGATCGACGCCAGCGTCCTTGTCGATGGTCTTGATTCGTTCTGCACCCAGCTGTCGACGAGCATTGCGCAGATCACAGCACAGCTTGCCAAGGACAGCGAGTATCTGCAGCACACATCGGCTAACGCAAAGCAGCGCTATGACATTGGTCCTGCTGATGGCGGGATCTGGGGTGATGAGGCGAGCGAGGCGCTGGGATTGCACACGTCCAAGGACGACAGGCTGTACTGGGGTCCCTATCACCAGCTGCACCCACTCATCACACTGCTTGGCCGTGCCATGGCACTCAAGGCAACCACAGCTATGCATGCACCGCCTGCCAGCGCTGCGACGACCCTGATGAACCGCTGGGCCGATGTTGTCGCCAGCATTCTGCCGACCCACTACGCAAACCCGTCCTGGTTGATGGTGTTTACCAAATCGCCGACGCGCTCAAGTTTGTGACAACGATGAACC